ACGGCCCTAGTTGTGTGAGCGGAGATGGCTCTACTCCTGATTGGTGGAGGTCTTGATGTGGGCGGAGATGGCTCTACTCCTGATTGGTGGAGGTCTTGATGTGGGCGGAGACGGCCCTACTCGTGATTGGTGGAGGTCTTGATGTGGGCGGAGATGGCTCTACTCCTGATTGGTGGAGGTCTTGATGTGGGCGGAGACGGCCCTACTCGTGATTGGTGGAGGTCTTGATGTGGGCGGAGATGGCTCTACTCCTGATTGGTGGAGGTCTTGATGTGGGCGGAGACGGCCCTACTCGTGATTGGTGGAGGTCTTGATGTGGGCGGAGATGGCTCTACTCCTGATTGGTGGAGGTCTTGATGTGGGCGGAGACGGCCCTACTCGTGATTGGCGGAGGTCTTGATGTGGGCGGAGACGGCCCTACTCGTGATTGGTGGAGGTCTTGATGTGGGCGGAGATGGCTCTACTCCTGATTGGTGGAGGTCTTGATGTGGGCGGAGACGGCCCTACTTGTGATTGGTGGAGGTCTTGATGTGGGCGGAGATGGCTCTACTCCTGATTGGTGGAGGTCTTGATGTGGGTGGAGACAGCCCTACTCGCGATTGGTGGAGGTCTTGATGTGGGCGGAGCCGGCCCTAATCGTGGAGTAGCTTGGTCGAGTCGGGCAGGAAGCAACATGTTTTTTAAGATTAATTTTAGTCGTAACTTGAGAAAGGAAGGTGCTAGCTGAATGAAATTTGAATGCTGTACATATGGAGGGACGAGTAACAATTTAGCTTAGTCAAAACATCCCTAACCAGCCTGTAAAAAGATCACTAAAATCAATATGAATATTAGTCTTAATCTGAGACAGGAAGAAGCTTGCCTCATGAAATTTTAAGTCAAAACATGTTTCCATTTTCACAATTTTTATTTGAGTCATTGTTCTGTTTTAAACTGTACCTATATCAATAAGTCATACTTTTTAACTATTATTACTTCCTCTTTTAAGTTGCCCCACAAGACATGTCAATTACAGTTAGGGTCGACTCCGCCCACATCAAAACCTCCACCAATCACGGGTAGGGCCGTCTCCACCCACAAGACAACATGCACTGCAGAGACCCCCACTTGTCTTTTTCACCTTTACTATTTTTTTTACTTTTCTAATCTAAAACATCTACATGTTACAGAACATGACTTACTCCGGGCGCCAACGTGGACACAAGATGATGGTCCAGAGACAGAACAGCTGGTTAGGGGACATCTTGGACTGGAAGGACATCGCCTCCTTCCTGCAGGAGAACATTGAGACTCTGCTGTCGGTAAGTTAGGGTTTAAAGCACTGATGGGTTTCTGACTTTGTTATCCTGGGAACGGTGTGTTTACTTTGTGTGCTTGTCCGTGCAGATTTTGGAGTCTCTGTGGGTAGTGATGAGCAGGAACGTTGGCCTCCTGATCTCCACCACCACCACTCTCCTCACAGTCCTGTTCCACAGCGGCACAGCCCTGCTCAACTTTGCACTGAGTCTGGTCTGAATAATGTCTCACCGACACACAGCACAACCGAAGCCTTTTCAGTGGAGGAAAAACTGTGTTTTTCTTTGTTTTGTTCCCGCGCAGGTGATTTTTCTCACCACTTTGTTCTACCTGCTGAGCTCCAGCGGTGAATACTACAAACCCGTGAAGTGGGTCATCAGCCTGACGCCTCTGTCTCAGCCCGGACCCTCGTCTAACATCATCGGCCAGTCCGTAGAAGAGGCCATCAGGTCTTTATCAACTGCAGGATTTAAAAAAAAAACATAAAATTGCACTCCTGTGTGAAAAGACTTTGTTTTACAGAGGAGTGTTCGACGCCTCTCTGAAAATGGCCGGCTTCTACGGCCTCTACACCTGGCTCACTCACACCATCTTTGGGATCAACATCGTCTTCATTCCTTCTGGTGAGYGGCGTTCGCAGGAGATCGTAGCGTAAATTCACCCTGTCCGCTCTGAACCCCCGTCTCTCTCTGCAGCTCTGGCCGCCATCCTGGGGGCGGTGCCGTTCCTGGGGACCTACTGGGCGGCGGTGCCGGCCGTGTGCGACCTGTGGCTGACGCAGGGGGAGGGGGTCAAGGCTCTGCTGCTGCTCATCTGCCACCTGCTGCCGACGTATTTCGTGGACACGGCCATCTACTCGGATATCTCAGGGTACGTGTGAGAGCGCCGTGCTGCTGCATTTGATTAACAAATTACAGCAAACCGCCTGTAACGGTCACGGTTTTCCCTTGTACAGTTTTACAGTGAAACTGTGACGTTTGTGTGTTTTTGTTTGTTGGAGAAATTCTTGACTAAACTACCACTGGACAGCAGGAGGGTCAGGTCAACAACATTGCTTTGTGTTGATTGTTTCAGTTGAAAGTTATTTGTCATTAAAAAAAGCACATTAGTCATAGAAACGAAAAGATTACAGAAAAGGTGGAAGAGAAGCTGGAGGTTTTGTACGGGATCAATCTTGTGCCAGCAGGAATTGAATTTGAATTGCTCAGATTGAATCTGAATGTGCAGAATTT